GTTCCGCTGCAAACGGTAGGTTAGGTTGCATGTTGTGCGCGATTGCTATGCAATTTTGCGGCTCTCCTTACTTTTTTGAATGTTAATATTTTAAGAGGAAAGCGTTTCAGATCTGTGTGCTAGAAAGGCTAATAATGAGTGTCCGTCCTAATCTGTTTCTACATTAATTAAGATTTGAGCCTCTCCCATATATCGCCATATTCATTAGGTCCGCTTCATATAAAAGAATTGCCATCAGCAAATCCAGGTCAACAGCTGTGCAAACTATGAAGGCAGAGTGCATCACACTTTGAAGTGTGCCGTGTGGGTGTGCGTTCATATACTAAACATAGTTTAAGCAGGTGTGGGATATTCAAAAGCAAATGTGCTATTTTGACTCAACGGAGCCACCCGAATTATCATATAACAGCACATGTAAGCCGCAAAATATTATACGGGTTCGTGATTGTGCACCTCTGTTTATAACGGATTTTCATATGCGCTGCAGCAGGGTGAATATCGCTTGAGGATTCCTCAACGGCACGTCGAGGATTCTCTGCCCGGTCAGACACGATCTCTCGCGCGGACATTCACACTCGCCATGCCGTGCCGTCTGTGCTCTCCGCGCGGATGTTCACTCTCGGCACTACTCTCGCATGGTAGAGAGCTATGGTCGAGGAAATCCTCGACCGTTCAACCGTGGCGGCGGGTCCTTGCCTCTGAAATGGGGTTGAAAGACCAAATAGTGGCTAATTGAAGGCTATAATAAGTGACAAAAGCCGACAATAAGCCACAGACAAGCAGAGAAGGGTCACCGCTGGAAGTATTATTCAAATTGCTTGGATGTTTCGCCTTCATTTTGCAAATAGTCATGTCGGAGCCATGAGAATACTGACGGTGAATGATAAATAATTTGTGAGCAGTTTAGTCTTTGAATTTTAACAACCACACTGTTACCCTCGGCTAATTTTTCAAAATTAGGTTTTCTGAAGATCAGTTCCGTTGTTCCTTTATTCAGGGGCTTGTGGACAGATTTTTGAGAACGCGCGACTTTTCGTCATTCGAACGTTTACAAGTTCCTTCATTGTATTGCACTGCCACGCGGATTACTTGTGTGTTTTGCTACAGGTACACGACCACACCGAACCAAGTACTTTATGTAGTACAACCTCAAACTTGGGTATTTAAACAAGTAAACAACTTGTAAACATCAACAACAGTTAGTAAATGTGCTACTAAAGTCCCTAAATGAAAGTCTCTGAGGATTAGGTCCTCAAATGGTGTGTCATACACTCTGACACAGTACCAGCATTCCTTTACCTTCTCGCCGCATCGACTATCTCCGCATCTTTCCAAGCAAAAGCTTCACAGATGGTTTTCCTGTACGATCTGGTTCCCGTGTGTGCACGTCTCGAGCAATGGGACAAGAAAAGTGAGGAAATTGCGCTCCACAGAAACTGCAATGGCATTGAGGCTCCGCACCTTCTGAGTAGGCAGCTAATCTGCGATACGGGAATCTTCTGATTGCGTATTCCATTGACTCACCAGCGTCGCTGATCCTCGAAGTCCCTTGGGTAAGCAATGCGCTTTGAACTTGAACTTGAACTGGACTGCCTCTCACAGCGGCTGACAAAATCATCGTCATCCTTTTTTTCGATAAAGCTTGGATAAATTTTCATCATCTGTGATTTCCAAGTCCTGTTCTGGTTGGTGCGGGAAAGTTCTCTGTTTGATGTCCTTCTTGGGCCATGTTGACCTGCGTTATTCATACAAGTCTCCAACGACGATAGCCTTGCTTTCATCGACCTGATCTCCTCGGTCTGCTCCTTCAGAAGCTGCTGAAGACTTGCTCACATTCTCGTCGAGTCCCGTCGAATGCTGTGAAGCATCTTTCAGACCGTCCTTTTCAAGATCCTTCTCGGCTTTCGCCAGGAGTTCATCCGCTTGTTTCATGATTCCAATAAGTGGTCGAAGCTCCATCTCTGTGGTCATATTAATGACTCCTATCTTGTGAAATCCCCAGTCTTTGGCCAACCAATCTTCATATCAAACCGAGGACACTCCTCCACAACGTGCTTGAAGTGCGTAGATCCTTTCGGTGAAGATGAACCTTGTCCCCAATCGCAACAATACTTCCTTCGTAGTGGTCGCCGAGTGTCTGATTGGTAAGAAGGAGGACCCTCTCCCCGCTCCGGCATTTTGGAGAAGGGGTCATCGAGCTGGATAAACTTGAAATGTTTACGAATAGTACGCGATACAGTGATTTGACGTTGTATCTCATTGAAGCATTTCTCCAGTTCGGTTTCAAGCTGCTCAGCGTTCGGGTTGATCTCACGAGTATCTGCTGAGATATGCAGCACCTCCATCGATGTCGCGTGTAGCCATCCTGAAATTGACGCACATGAATCTGTGTACTTGAAAGTACTGTGCATTGTTTAGACAGATCATTGAACTTGAAATACAGTGAGGATTACACGATTCGCTAGAGAATCGCTCGATTCACAAACTATGACGTCGGCCTAAAGAATTATTGACTGAAAACGAGGCAAAGGATTTCGCTGTGAGTCACTAAATGATGATAGGTTCTGTTGAACACCTAACTATCTAGTATTGTTCCGGGAAGGGAAATTAAAATGGAACTCGCTCAAATTGGAGTCGATTTTGCGTATTGATGTGCCATCCATGTCAGACCAGCCAACATCCAATCAAGAGGTAAAATATTACTATTAGTTGGAGTAAACTTTATGGGCTCTGATATTGTGTTGAATATAGATAGAATCAGGATTCCAGGATCAGTCGCAAGCGCGAGCAACGCTGGAGGAGATGTCAGTGCCGAAAATGGCCAAACATGTTGGTTGACGATGAGGAAAAATGATTTAAGTGCACTGTGTATAACCTTTAATTCTGCCCTGCCTAAAGCGCCCCGAAACTCCCAAAAACTAGACTAACGCTCGGAATTGCCCGACGTAGTACCTGAGGCGAGCAGCGCCAGGCCGGAAGAAACCAGCCGCGGAGTCCACGTAATACTTGCCAACTTTGACAACACACACATTTCGGCATTTCTTTTGGTATAAAAAGTTTTGAGTCTTTTGCAATAAAATTTTGAAGTCTCACATTGTTTTATACACATTTAGATCAAAAAGTGCTTATAAAATCCAGGACAGCAATCACCGTCTTGATCGAGCATAAATGAGGAGGTCCCAGCACTTTGATGAACTTGCTCTTTTTTGTTGTGAGATTCTTCTGTTGGAAAGTTTTCAACACTTCATCCCGAGTAAACATCGTCACGGGATCAAACTTTGGCGAATAAGATGCAGGCAAGAACTTCATTGCATACCACGTGAAGGAGGAGTACTGCTGCAACAAAGGGTGTAAAAAGTAGATCGTGTGAAATTTTTACCCTAAATAGGTTTTCCACGAGGAACCCACTTCGGATGTCGTGAAAATGGACTGGAAAAAGTTGCATGCACTGTACAGCAGAGAGAGTGCTACAGTCAAGCTGAAACATAGCAGAATTCCTCTCATTTTCCACGTTACTATCCATATCAACGCTGTGGCAGAACCAATCAAAATGACATCATCATAGAAGACATTCTAAATTTTTGATTTCCCAATTTAGGGGGGTTTTCAGAGGAACGTGTAGTTACTCGCAAACCAGTCATACGCACGTTGTTAACATTTTGCTGAAGTTACTCTACTCTACAAACACACTATTACAAAACATGGTGAAAATGTAGTTCGGGGGAGCCACTCATAATATCTAATCGAACTGACAATATCTAATCGAAGTGGAGCTGCGGAAGGGCGGTCATATCTAATCACCATCCAGAGCACAGTCTCTGAGTGTATGATTAGATAGGGATACCAACCGAGATTCCATACAAAATCGGATACCTGAAAGGCCCTTTCTTCGAGGGCTCGCATGGCAGTCGCAAGAAGGTTTGATGAAAGTGAAGCCAGCAAGGTAGCAGCCATTTTAGCCATAGAAATATGACAAAGGTGTAAGCGTACTAGTCGTAGGCCACGGTCTCAGTGAAAGATATGATAAGATATAAGTGCCTTCCCGCAACTCTACCTTGATTAGATATGAGTGTATTTCCGCTGATGAAAGTGAAGCCAGCAAGCGAGCAGCTTTTTCAGCCATAG